TCACTGTGACATATCCCAAATTTTGGACTCTGTGCAAAAACCAATCTGGGCTCACAAAATTAATCATGGAACACATTTTATGACGTTTGACGACAACAACTTAAAAGGTTCTCATCTCTGGCAGGTGGCTCTGCCAATCTGCAAGTATATGCATGATAAATTCTGAACAATATATTGTGTGGCTGAAAATATATTGTGCAGGACGCATACCCTGGAGAGAACCAGAGTGAGTCCACACAATTCTGAAGTCTGTCTCAGAGACACATAAACCAGACTGCCTTGTGAAGGAAGGATGATGGCCTCAGGTACACACAGAGAGCCAAAGAAAAGGCAACAGCTCGTGTGCCAGTAGATGCTGAGAACATTGGCACAATCGCCTGGGTTGGCAGGACCAAGAGTTTGAGATGGCTAATTTAAGCAACAAGATCCTGGCACACAGATTTATTTAGGGCAAGGGTGCGTCAGAAAGATGCCAGAAAAATACATCAATCTGTGCCTTTACATGTACTGTGGAGTGATGATGAAACAACTGACATTAAAAAAGTAAACCCTTACATTTTAATATAATCTGCAACTTATCCGAACAAAAAGTAGGAGGGTTTACTTTAGATCTCTGGTACTCAGAGATGGAACTTTGTGTTCTGACCTGAGATCTGTAATTAAGAAAACCTCCTATCAAAAGATGTTTCTGAAGAGATTTCTTGTGTTTAATTGATTAGACCAAGTGTTTTTATATATTATTTTGTCTATTTTAAAATTCAAGCTAATTCACATTGATGATATCATTCCCAGCAAATAAAGGAAGCCATTCATTTAAAATTTTACTTTTCTGAGAAGTGTATTATAGAAACTGTTGGAAAAAGAAAGAAGCCTGGGACTTTAATTGTACTGAGAGAAGCCTGAATAGATCCCTTTAGTTAAGAGTAATGTTTTATCGTGCAGTAAGACATAACTGTTTTAAATGTCTATTCTGTACAGTAGTGCCTATTTGTGTATGGTTTAACAGGCAATAAGATAGTAAAACATTCCACTTGGAGTGCCTTGCTTCCTCATATTATGTTCCACTTCCCTAGCTTCTTTAGACAGCCTCCTAACCCTGATTTCTCCAGCCCACATCATTTTTCTCTTAATTGATGTCTCAATCCACTGTATTTGTGAAGGATTAAGAAAACTTTAATACTTAGTCTACTGAGGACTTCAATTTTTTTATACAAAGACTAAACTTGCATAGTTTAGCATCACTGGGATTTGTTTAGACTCAGTCTTCCTATTCTAATTTGACTGTTCCTCTTCTTCTCTGAAGCCGGAAGTAATGTAAGGAAGCAACTGGTGAAGAGTTCTTCCACGGGAAGAGCAATTCTTGATTAGAAAGCCTGGTGACTCTGTAACTTGACAGAGGCATGAGAGCTAAAGCAGCTCTGCCTCATTTACACTCACAAGGGCCTCACCTGAGACATGACACAGCAATGAGTCTTTTCTGTAAAGCGAAGGAGTTGGCCACTCTAGGTCTCTCCCAACTCTAATCCTTGAAGATTTGTGAATTAAGGAGGGATATTTTAGGAGACCTCTCCTTACACAATAGCTGATTGTTTCATGTGTTTTGTGCATTAAATACAAATGGGTTGATAGTTAATTGGACCATATTTTGATCAAAATCTACTAAAACTTTCTTTCTTCCTTACTTTCAAATAATTAATGCTATATGACTGTTTTGATTTCTCATTCCTGGAATGTGGCTTTTTATTCCATCTGAAAACTTTTAGGATCTTCTTTTTATTCCATCTGAAAACTTTTAGGATCTTCTATTTTTCTTCTAAAAAGAAAACTTTTAGAATTCAGAAATTTCATAATGAGAATGTACATTAAGAAATTACCACAGAAAAGGAAAGAATCATTCAAAAGGAGCAAACTAAATAACCCACAATCCAAGTTCATAAGAACAATTCCTGTTCCCACCAGGAAGAGTCAAATCCCATACACATAATTTATGGGGCTTTGGTTTGTGGGACACAAAGCCTTACACAAAATGCTGAACTGGTTCCACCTACCAAAGCTGACAATCAAGCCTCAAAAGGACAAAATTATTTTCAAGTGTCCTATCTGCATTTCAAAACAATCTCAAAAATATTTACAGGACTACAAAAATATCCAGCACCCACCAAAAAGTAAATTTCACAATGGGATCTATTCATGCAAGAAGCAGGAAATTAGGAGTCATCGTGAAGAGAAAAGTCAATCAATATATTTGATTTAGCACTGTTGTGCCAAAAATAACACAGATAGGAAATAACATTAAAACTGTCATTATAATTGTGTTCTGTATGTTCAAGAAGCTAGAAGACTGAGCACGTTAAATAAGGACATAAATATGTAGAAAAACACACACACACCCTCCTAAATAAAATTGCTAGAGATTAAAACTACAACATCTGAGATAAAAAATAAACTATATGGGGTTAAGAAAATATTATATATGGAACAAAAATAAAAGATTTTTAAAAATAAAGGAAAATATACATTGAAAAAAGGGGAAAAAGCTTGAAAAAACAAAATGAAGAGAATAAAGCGTCAATGAGCTATGAGGCAATGTCAGGCAGCGGAATATACATGTAAGTGGAGCCATCAAAACTGGAGCTGGAGGATGGGGGAGAGAAAATATTTGAAGACATAAGGGCAACGTCCGCTTTTATCTAGCTCTACACGGTATTCTCAGCGCTTAGCAAGGCTCCTGGTAGACATCGAGCATTTGATGAACAGTTCTTGAATATACCTGCAGTACAACAATGAAAAAGAGGAAAGCACACAAGTGCTATTGCGGGGTATAAGGGACATCAGGGACCAAAGAAAGGAAATGGTATGGCTAAAAGGAAGCTTAATAGAAGTGGCATGTCTTCAGTAGGGAACTGAAGGATGAATTCAGTTTGAGGATGTATACAGTTTAGAGAACTGGAGGAGATGAAGAAAGGCATTCCACATAAGAACAACATAAATAAAGACTTGGAAGCAACAATTAATATGGTTTTGAATAGCAGTCCCCTTTTTTCCAGGCAGGATACAATCCAGGACTCCCAGGAAATGCCTGGAACCACAGAGAGTACTGAGCCCTATATATACCATGTTTTTTTCCTATACAGGCATACCTATGATAAAGTTTAACTTATAACTTAGGCACAGTGAGAGATTAGACAAAAAAAAAAAAAATCTTACTGCGCTGTACTCATCTTTCTTCTCATAATGATGTGAGATGATAGGATGCCAAACCTATTTCTGAATATGTGGAATCATTCCTTACTTGTTGTAAATGGCTTGGTGTCACTCATTTCAGGGGCTCCTTTACTGAAGTCTTCATGTAGGTTCAATGCTTTTCAAGTGCAACCTGCGGCTGTCAATCAGAACACATTTTCTGTTCATGTCCTCCACTCACAAATGCAATTCCTTTTCCATCTTATCATGCACTGTAGCCGTAACTTTTGCAGGTTGAGGTGCGACAGCAAGACTAGCACAAATTTCTTTTTCCTTCCTCACAATTTCACAGGCAGAAGATTTGTTTTTACCACAGATCTTAAGCAACTTCAAAATATGATTTTCTTTCCTTGTTAAATCAAGAATTTTTACTTTTTCACTTACAGGAAGCACTTCATAGCTTGTCTTTGGCATATTCGCATTGCCAGCATCACTACTTGAGCTTTGGGGCCATTACTGAGTAAAATAAGGGTGATCTGCACACAGACACTGTAACACGGGGACAGTGGATCTGATAAATGGAGAAAGGTACAATAGGACCAATGGGTGGAGCATATACAGCATGAAGATGCTGGACAAATGGATGACTCATCTCCAGAGTGGGATGGAGCAGGACAATGTGAGATTTCAAGACGCTACTCAGAATAGCACACAATTTAAAACTTGTGAATTATTTATTTTTGGAATTTTCCATTTAATATTTTTGGACTGTGGTTGAACGCAAATAACTGAAACCAAGAGAAGTGAAACCGCAGAAGAGGGCAGACTATTGTACCACCTTGACTGGAGAGGTGGTAGCCTTGAGGGATAATAGACATGAGGTTAGATGGATGAGTTAGGGTCAGAATATGAAAGTCTGTAGAAATAGAAAATGGAGAGACCATTGAAAGTTTCTGAACAGAAACCTTTGATGATGAAATCGGGGTCCGGGGAGACAAAGAGTAAAGTGGCAACATTCATGATATTACAGCTGAATGGAAGTGGCGGTTGTTAAAAATGTGTGAGATCACCTAATGTATCAGCACAGAGCAGGGCTTGATTAAGTCTTTGTGGAACTTATATATTGGGCAAATTAGTATTTCATTTAAATTCAGGATCAAAAATTTTCTCGGTTCATGAAATTTTCAAAAATGAGCCTACAAATCTGTAATGCATTGACAATATTATTTGCTTCATAGTATTTCATTTTTATAAGATTTATAAAGATCAACTTTTTAAAATGACTTTGTGGCACACTCAAATGCCTTGTTCTCTTGGTCAATTCAGGTGTGTTTCCTGTTTGGTACTCTCCATCCCTATACTCAAATAGATTTGTAGGGAAGATTCGAGCCATGGATTTTTAAAATTAAAGCAATACTTACCCCACTTACACATAAGTGTATCAGAGTTTAAAAACGGAAAAGACCTTTAAGACTTTTGTCACAGAGAGGGGGAAAACTGAGGCTGAAAGTGGGTAAGTGAGCATAGAGCCTCCAATGGTTAAGTTGGGAATAAGGCTTGAGTCTGCGACAGCTAACAATAGTTGGGGAAAGCTTTCTTTTCAACCTTAGGAAGCTGAGATATTCGAGAACTTTCGAGTGACTAAAGGTGAAGCAGAAGACCCACCCACTTTCAACGCCCGCACTCAGGTACCTCCACCCAAAGACGCCCCGGCGAACCCTAGACCACGGCTCCGCCTCTCGCGATACTGGCCGGCCTTCGCCCTCTGGCTCCCGCGAGGCCCCGCCCCTCACCGCAGCCCCTTTGTCGTCATTTCCTGTGGGTCTGCAGGCAAAGGGAGAAGATGGCGGCGCTGGGCGAACCTGTGCGGCTGGAGAGGGGTAAGTGCCGCGTAGGCCCGGACCGAGGAGGGCGGAGTGGGTGGAGGACTGCCGTGTCGCAACAGGGGAGGAGGAGAGGCTCAGGCTTCGAGACCAGGAGCCAGGCTGGCCCTCACCCTGGCTCCCGTCACCGCCGACGTTGCTTCGCCCGGCCCCAGGGAAGGCGATTGTGGTCTCTCGGCTGAGACCCAGTCCCCTCTGCTGTTCAGGTAGACTGCCGGGGCACTGTCCAGTTGAACACCTGTCCGCGTTCGCAGACGCACGCTGTACACGCGCTTTCTGGGAGGACACAGCAGACGCGGGGTTTAGAGACGTGTTAACCCAAGAAACGAACCTCACGCCCGTTTGGGACAGGCTGCCCGCACCACCCGTATTTATGCGTGCACCAAACCAGTGTCCCCCACGTATCGCACACGGGCCGGACGCACGGCGTGTTCCCACGGGACCTCCGCCCCCGTTTACGCTCAAACTCGGTCATTCCTTTCACTACAGCCTCACCGTTCTTTGTATTGGGCTATTTCCTGGCTTTGGGGCCCCTCCCAGGTACCGAGATGGTGCTTTCTCAGGAGTTGGTCTTGGGAATGTGCAGGACTAGGCGGGATAGTGGTGGATTGTAAAATACTTGAAAGTTCGGTCTTACTCTTCATTTACAAACTCTACAGTTGCGAATTGTGACAGGTTGCTTACTATTGAGAGCACACTGTCAAGGAAAATAAACCTGTTCTGTTGAGGAATTAAAAACCCAAAGCCAGTGAAAATACATGGTTCTGTTCCTATCAGAGTTTCAACACTCCGCCCCTTCCTCCCCACATCCTTTATTTCAGCCAATTTCAAACATGCTTTTGGCGAATCAGTAGAAGTCATTGGTTAATAGTTAAGTACAAACTAACCATTTTGAGTACTAGTTTGTAGTAAATAGCTTGAGAAGGAGATTTGAAATATCTTGCGAAATTAACATGTGCAGTTACAGTCTGAATATTAAGTATCTAATGCCCTACAAAGGGAATACAATTTTTCTGAATTGGTGTGTTTAGAGAAACCTCTTTCCTTATGTATTCAGCCAAACGCACACTTAACATTCTTTATTCTTTATGATGTTCTCTTTTGTAAGCCTCTTTATAAATGACATTGTTTACCTCAAAACCATTAAAGCATCATTTTTGACAGAGGAGTAGCTGGTCTGGGAAGACTTACTAATTAGGCCTGTGACGCTGTCTTCCTACTGAGTATGATGGCACTGTGCTTTGCAGATGGCAACAGGTGTGTTTGGTTGTAGGATTCTAACATGTTGGTAATCTTTTGTATTTTTAGGCAGGGCAGAATGTGAAATTTAAGCTCTGTCATTTACTTTTAGTAGTCATGGATTTGTTTTTTGCTATTTCACAGTTGTTTTCAGGTCCACAGTAGAATGTTCAGCACCGCTAGTAGGATGAATCACTTGTGGTTGCCATTGAGCAGGATAGGAAAATCAATACATCTGATTCTTCTGTAGAATTCTGTTTAACAGACTCTCTGAAACTTCCCCAGGAGAAAGCCATTTTTATTCTGTAAAGAAAAAGTTCTAGTTCTGTAGTATAATATAAAATTCAGTACTCCTTCCACTTAAAAGGAGGCAAGGAGTAGTAGAATAATAGGTACTCTAGCCCTCTGGGGTACAAAAATAATTAGGAAAAAAACTGGAAGTAGAGATAATTGTTAACAAGGTTGTAACATGACTCTGAGTCTCATAAAATTTCGTAATTCATAAAACACTTATTCTCACACTTCCCAATGAGAATTGTCTAACTTGCTTAATATATTTGTATAAATATGTACTCTTTCTTATGATTAATTGGTACCAAATGTAATACAACATTTATGCTTGTTACATGCATACTTGATGGGTTTAGTCATCAAGTAATTTTACAGTAGAGAAACTAAGACACAGGGAAGTTAAGTAATTTGCCCAAGATCACACAGCTAGTATTGAGACCAGACTGACAAAATTAACTTTTTATTTTTTAATTTTGTAAACATGTATTTGATTGTCTTAATTAAAACCTGTTTGATTCTAAGTTGAAAACAGACCAGTTACTGTTACTCATTTATATCATTGTTATAAAATTGTCTCTGCCACTAACAGCATGTGTAGTGGAATATTTCATGTCTACATATATACTATGTTTCCTTTGGGCAATGAACAGTGATTTCACTGGCACACAGTGTTTTGTATTGTTCAGTGTTTTGATTACTAATAATGATAGGTAAATTTTTATTGACTAAGTAGTTACTGATATACTGTCAGCTTCTCTGAGGTGTAGACAATGTTCATTAGTCTTATCACAGCTTTTTAGCCCAGGTTCTTTCCTGTGACATTTAGTATTTTACATTCAGTTTTCCTGTCTGTCAAAGATGCTTTTTCCCAGATTTTGTATATATGCAACATCAGTGTTTCTTCCTAATCTATTATAAAACTTAGCATTCTTAGATTTTCCTTCCTACTCATGTGTGTACACCCCCCCCCCACACAGCTCACATTTTTATGCTTTTTTTCTCTGTTTTTCATATTCTTGTCAGTCCTTGAAGAATGAATCCTAACTGCTATACTGTTACATAGGTATTTAGAGAATCTTCAGAGAAAATTATCTATCAGTGTGTGTTTGTTTAACTCTAGATATATGTAGAGCAATTGAATTGTTGGAAAAACTACAAAGGAGTGGAGAGGTACCACCACAGAAACTTCAGGCTTTACAAAGAGTCCTTCAAAGTGAATTCTGCAATGCTGTAAGAGAGGTGAGTACATGGGATTAAAATTCACTAAATACTTGAGTTAATTAGATAAGATAATACTTTGAAATTTGGGTTCAGAATTTCTTAAGAAAACTTCAGAAAAACATTAGAATCTTTGTTTCACATTTTAGGAATTTCTAATAGAAAAACATTTTACAAAGATGTATAGTTTTGCCTAAAATTTTAACACATTCATAACTTCATAGAACTCAAGCGGTATTTTCTGAAATTTTATATCGCTGACTTTGGGTTTTCTAGGTATATGAACATGTCTATGAGACGGTGGACATCAGCAGCAGCCCTGAAGTGAGAGCTAATGCAACTGCAAAGGTAAATTTTCTCACTTAGTTCAAGTGAGAGCATTGCCCTGACTGGTGTGGCTCAGTGGTCTGGGCATCATCCTGCAAACCAAAAGGTGGTCAGTTCTATTCCCAGTCAGGGCACATGCCTGGGTTTTGGGCCAGGTCCCTGGTAAGGGGTGTGTGAGAGGCAACTGATGTTTCTCTCGCACATTATTGATTTTCTCCCTCCCTTCTCCTCTCTTTAAAAAAAAAGAAAGAAAAAAAAATGAGAGAAGTCTTTAAAAATTAGAGGTTTTAAATCTGCAATTATTAGATTCATAATAGGCTTATTTTGAAAACTAACATAGTAACATTCAACCTACACTGAACATCTCAAGTACTAAGAAATAGAACCCTTTTTATTGTCTTTACGAAAGATAATCTATCATGTAGATTAGTTAATGTATTAAAAATACAATTGCACACAAATAAAACTATATAATTCATCGTTACATACAGTGTACATAATTATATCACTGGTTATGTAAATTTTTCATCTAAGTTTTGAGGTATGAGTTATTATCCTTATTTTATTGATGAAGAAGCATCAGTTTAAGTTAACTGCCTCATTCCACACAAATAGTAAATGGTAGAACTGGGTGAGGTACTTCCCCAGGTTTCTCTTTGCTTTCTTTATCTTAACTTTGCAAAGGGGGGTAATGTCAGTAGTAGGTTATCTCTTTAGAGCTGCAGATGGCAGGTTTTATGGGCTTAATATACCGATGTTTCCCTCAAATAATTCTTGCGTTGACCTTAGTGTTCATCATAGATGGTTAGAGTAAGTTAGTATCAACAGTCAGTAATTTATTTTAGAATTAGTTACTAGCAGGTGATTTTTCATTGATAGTTACTGGTTCACAGAAAGAAATACTGGATTCTCTGTTGAATATAAACACTTAAATATGTGGGTGTAGTTTGAGTACTAAAATCATAGAAACTTGGCTTTAATTCCTGGGTTATATGACCTACACCAGGGGTCCCCAACCTCCTGGCTGCAGACTGGTACCAGCCTGGGCCTATTAGGAACCAGGCCACACAGCAGGAAGTAAGTTTGAATGCAATGCACTTGAATCATCCTGAAACCATCCACACACCACCCCACCCCCCGCAACCTCTTTCTGTGGAAAAACTGTTCGACGAAACCAGTCCTTGGTACCAAAAAGGCTAGGGACTGCTGACCTACACAGCCTACTGAATATTTGAGCTTTCCTTCCCTGATCTGTAAAATGGGACTTCTTTTGAGGCTGAGAACATAGTGGTGTTCAACAAATCCTGATTTCCTTCCTTCTCCCCTCCCATTTTTGCTCATACATCTTGATCCATCACAAAAAAGAAAAAAAAATTGTACCAGATTACTTGGTTATCTTTAAAAGCAAAATGAAACCCAAATATCAACTTTGTGTTAGAATTAGTCTAGATTAGTCTAAATTTGAAAGTCTTAAAGATGTGGCTCTGTTTCGTCTTCTGCGGGGTTTTAGTTAGATAGTTAGCTAGAGCACAAAAGCATCATGTTTATCTGTACTCCTTGATACTGAGTTATTTCTTGATGAGTTATTTCGTGTAAAGAACAAACAGTACAGCAGTCAACGTGACTGCATGTAAGGACACCTACCTCCTCACAGGTTCTGTAGATAGGTGGTGCCCTGCGCAAAGGCCCTTGAAGGAGCCAGGTTATCCAGCTCCAAAGCTGAACACAGCTCACATGCCGGAGGAGGCAGTCTTCTCTTGAATGTCAGTGTTCATTTGCCCAGCAAGCCTGCTGGCCAAGTGCTACACAGAAGTTCTGGGCACTGGGTGGACTGACTCGGCCACCTCCTACGTAGTTCCGGGGTATGCTCTCTAGCCGTCCCCTCTAAAACACCATTCCCAGCATTCCCTTAGCATACTTTCTCCTCAGGACTGCCAGTGAATTTGTGGGTAATCAAACATCAAAAGTATGCACTTCAAAAATAGTTAAGAAGAGGCGAAAGAGCTTAAGTAAACAAAGGTCATACTTTTAAAGATGTAAAATTTTCTTTCAGGCTACTGTTGCTGCATTTGCTGCCAGCGAAGGACATTCTCATCCTCGAGTTGTTGAACTACCAAAAACAGAAGAAGGCCTTGGATTCAATATTATGGGTGGCAAAGAACAAAACTCTCCCATCTATATATCTCGAATAATTCCAGGAGGAATTGCTGATAGACATGGGGGCCTCAAGCGGGGAGATCAGCTTCTTTCTGTGAATGGAGTGGTAAGGGTGTTTTATTTCTCTTTGTAGTAATGTGTTGTGACCACTTGGGGGTGTGTATGAGTTACAGTAACAGAAGATGTAGGGGGATGGGGAAAGCTTTGTAGTTTAGAAATCCCTTGAGGGGAATCCAGGGCAGTACTGTTTAGTACATTGATGCAAATTAAAGCACTCTAAGTGTGTTTTGCTTTTTTCCAATATAAATTAGCAATGCTTAGTGTAATTTTTATGAAATGATTAAGCTCTTTAGTAGTAGTTAAGGCAGTTGTTAAATTAGAAGTCTACCCCTCATTTCAGAATGCTGTTTCTTGATTTAGTTCTGGCTTAGTGGAATAATAGGGCTTGTAGATTGATAAGCTAATCATTTGAATCTTAGAAACCAGTTCCTGGAGTACAAACAGGAATATGATTTTAGCAGAGGATTTCATGCTGATTAGAATGATAAAGCTGGGTTACTTCATAGGTTTATAGTGTTGAAATGATATAACATTAAAACTTTCGTACTTAAATGTAAGCATTTTTGCCTTCTGAGTGATTAAAAAACCTACATATTAATTGTGTGTGTATTTTTTTTTTCTAGAGTGTTGAAGGAGAGCATCATGAAAAAGCCGTAGAACTGCTAAAAGCCGCTCAAGGAAAGGTTAAATTAGTAGTACGATACACACCCAAAGTTTTAGAAGAAATGGAGTCCCGTTTTGAAAAAATGAGATCGGCCAAACGCAGGCAACAGACCTAATGCAGTTCAGAACTATATTCCATTTGCTTTTAGCTAGAGAAGTTTTACTTGTGACCTACTGATGGCCGCAAAGCCAATGATTGTAAAAACACAAAAACAAAAAAATACCAGAAACTTCCCATGAAATGCTCCTTGCCATTTTATAAATGCCTGTTTTAAAATCATTTGTGGTTCCAGAGATGCATATACTTTTTTCTGACAAGAAAAAGTAAAAGGTGATGAGGACAATTCTGTCCTGCTCTTTTTACAGGTCTTTTTTCAAATGCAGATTTTGTCATAAAGTTGTTATAGATTTTTAAAAATGCTTTTTAAATATTGAAATGTATTTTACATTCTTAATCTTTTTTTTAGGAAAAAAGTTTTCTTCATTTGTCTGCTGATTTAAAAATAACAGTTCTCCAGTTCTTTTTTGCTTACACTACTTTTTTTTTAACCTGTAAAATTTCTTTAGTTTTCCAGGAAATTAAATGTAACAGTTTCAGCTACAACAGTTTATTACACTGTCAGTGTTAACATCACTGCTGCATTTTGTACTTTGAACACACACATAATATGTACAGTCATTGATAAATCAACTCAGTACAGTGGAACTTTTTTACTTTTATTTAAACATAATGTAAAATGAATACTCATTTATACTGATTTATAAAAGTAAATTTTTAAACACTAAAACAACCATTGCGAAAATACGTATTTCATAATTGAGCAGCAAGGCAAGGGGATGCGATTTGTTTTTTATTATTAATTAGATCTCTATCCAACAGTATGTCAAATTACAAATGGAAAAACAGGTTTAGGTTCATTTTTTGCAAATTTGTTTAATGCCCTTATTTCTGTTGAAATTTGTTTCTTATGTTTTGGTCCTTCCATTCCTAGAGATGAGCCAGTTAGTTTGTGATGGGAAATAGCAGAAGCAAAGAAGGAAAAGTAATACTTTAATCTCACTAGTCTCTAGGTCAGTTTAAAGACTTGATTTTCAATAGGATGATTATAGAAGGATATCTTTAAGATATACAGAAATTATGAGGTGATGTATCCATAAGAATCTGCAGACTTTTTGTCAGAATGAGTAGGAATTTATTCATATTAAAATGGTTGGATTTAGAAATGGTGATCTGTGTTTATGATTCAAATATAATGATGGGAGTTCTGAGAGATACTCTCAGTTGTCCACTGGATGTCACTGTTTTACTGAAGGGCAGCTATTAGTCTAAGACTGTGACTGAGCTCTTCTCGAAAGCTGAGATGAGTTGAGGTTCATTTTCAGTCACAACCTACAGGAGCATATGTGTGATTTTTTTAAGTGACATGCTAAAAAGATAATCGTTTGAAATATATAAGGACTTCAGACCTTGTTTAAAAAGTGGGCATTTTGTAACATTCCTTCAGGAAGACTGGAAATGTATACCTTTCTCTGCATGTTTGTGAGCACTGTGAGTCTTAAAAAGATTATTCCAGTTTTCAGTGATTTTTAAGAATAAAAGCCAATCAGCATTGTTATTTATCATTTAGGTATTGAACACTGGATTGCATGGTTGAATGTGTCTTTAGTCCACTACAAAATGTGCTTGTTATTGATAGGAGTGTTGTTAAATTGTATATTTTCAAATTAATTGATGTTTTTAAAATGTTGAGACCAAAGTAGTGTAGGAGAATTATGGACTTAATTTAATTGTAAAGTTATTACAGGTATTTGTTGTAGAGCTTTATATATTAAAGAGAGGTATTGGTGCATATAAAAACAGTAATATTATTATGCTCGTATTCTTGCATTGTACAGGGTAAATAAACCCTAAAGAAATCTTATTTTAGTATAGCTACAGCTGCAGTAGCTTTTAAGGGCGTGTCAACATTTCATTATAAATTGTAGCTTCTTGGTTCAGTATCTCAGCTGTTTCAGAACTTCCAGCCAAGTTAAATCTTTTTTGGTGTTGAAACTTAATAAGTTGAGTAAGCTATTTTTTGGTTCCATAGTAATCCACAATCTGTTCTTTGTGTGGGTTGGCACTTATTTATAATTCTTAAAGATAGCTTAAAGGAGCCAAATACAGTAGTTTTTGCTCGCTACTGTTGAGCATGAATAGCAGTAGTTCGTTTTCATTAAAGCAGTTCCCACAGTGTATTCCTGAATTTTAAATCCTGACCATAGGAAAAAAAAATCAATAATTCAGTGGCAAAGATATACAGTAGTGGTTTGGTATTGTGAGGAAATGAAGGAATTTTTCATTTTATAAATGTATGATTCATGAATATAATTAGTCACATAGTAAATATATAATAGGTGTTTGATTTGTAAATTATAAATATAATTATCCCTTCTCCCCAATTTCCGTTTATTTTTTGGTATTTCAAAATGGGTTAACTCAGTGATTCTAAACCCTTGCTGCATGCTAAAACACCCTGCAGAGCCTTTGAAAAGATTGGTATGGTACCTAAGTCCCATCTCACAGCAACTAAATCAGAATCTCTGAGGGTGGGGTCAGACACTTGTACAATTTTTAAAACTTTCCAGGTGGTTCTGAAGGACACGTAGGGTTGAGAACCACTAATTTTCCCCTTTATAAAATGTTCTAATTACACTGGACTTTGTTTGGAAATATCAGAATAGGATAATTTACAGCTACTATTAAGTAGCAGCAAATATGATGATTGGTTATATTTCTTAATTTTTTAGGAATGAAAGGTACTTGGCATTCTTTATTTGGGAAATAATTATAATCTGCCTTTTTTAAAACCTGGTAGTAGTTTAAACAAACTTTTAATATTTGTCATCTTTCTACTCCCTTTGCCTTTTTAAAATTTACAAAAGATAAATGTCATTTGAGAAAGCATGTTTAAAAATTGCAAATGAGAAATAATGTCATTGATAATTATGTGCTGTCTTAACATGGCTACTTTATTAGCAATATACTCGATTATAGTGGCCTAGTTCTTTGGGTTTGGATAATTCAGATATGTTTATAACAAAATTATTGTCTTCTAAATTTTTGAAAGTTATTTTGCTCAAGTACTTAACATAGTTTGGCTCAAGTACTTTGTTTACAGTTTAAATGGATATTATAGCATTTAATAGAAGAAATGGCTATGGCTTACTGGAAAAGAATATCAGCATGACTTGGTGTAGACTTAAAAGGATACATGTTGTTAATATTTTATAATGCGGAATGGTCATTAAAATATTAAGGACTTTAGTAATTGTATTTCCTGAATAAATGTATGTTTATGAATTTTCTAACTTATACCTTGTTGTCTCCTCTGCTAACAGTCTGGTTTTATACTTTTTATTGTCCGAAATTTCACTTTTAGTGTTATTTCAAAGGTCATGGCAGTCCTGTAATAGTTAAATAGTGGAAAAAAACAAATCACTTGCTCATAAATTTTCAAGGGCTTCCGAAATGATTTGCATCTGGACTTAGTTTTTAAAAATATTAGCAAGCAGTATGCATCTACTTTAATTCTGTGGTTTGAGGTAAAGAAAAAGAGTGTCCAAAATGGATTTAATACTTTTTTAACAGATGATTTCATTTATCAATTCTGATTCTAAGGCTTATTTAAAATAAATTTGTATTACATTCTTGTTCTTTGGATTTGGAAAAATTGATATAACCACGCAACAGATGTACTTCTGAAAGCTATGTGTAAAATAACTTTTAAATAAGGTAAAAGCAAAATCTGTGTGGGTTACTGGAATGAAACTTCAAATTCCTATATTTTGCTTTGTCTTTCATAAAATATAACTACAGAAAAAAAACTCATGGTATTTTAAGAGAGGCGGTACGGTTAGTGATTGCGGGCGCAGCGTCTGGAGCCTGACTGCCCTGGTTTAACTCCTAGGTTCACTATTACTGTGTAACCTTGCACAAGGGACTTAAGTTCCCTGCGCCTTAGTTCCCTCAGCTGTCATGTGTAATAAGAGTGGCCATAAATGTTATGTTATAAAGCCCCTAGCTTTACTGTGCCTGGCATAGTAAACACTGTTTTGTGTTTGCTGTTAATTTTCTTGTAAAAGAGCATCAGGAACTTATTAACTAAAGGAAGACATTGTGGCCAGTAATTAAAATTAGCAAGTTCTTCGTTTTGATGCCTAGCAAAAGGATAGCGTTTATTTTGTGCTTGAAAACTTCAAAAGGAATAAGATTCATGAGGAGTTTTCAGATTTCGGTCCATTTTGGTCAAACTCCTGGAACTCTAAAATTAGTGGGGTTTGGGGAGTGGAGGGTTTAAGTCACATACAGAATGAAAAGTCATTTGAGTATAAGTTTCATTGAGGAATTTGTTCAATCGGAAAAACAATTTGTAAGGAGAATATGACCTAGCTGTAGAGACAATGGATTGTTGGAATGTCGGACAATACAAGGCGTAATTCACCATCATGAATTTTTAAAAAGCATGAAATGTACCAAGCAACCAGGGGTAGGACAAAATGCATTTATTGTTAGCCCTCTCAGTTTCTTCAGAATTTCAGTAAACTAGATTACCCATTCTCTAAATGTTCCAGTTCTTGTTTTTTTTAATATTCTCTACCAGTGATTATTCTGGTTTTAATATAAAGAAGTGGTGACTGAAATCTTACACATTTATTTCTGTGGTGGAAGAAAACCTCCACCTGATGAAATCTTTAAGAGTATATAAAGAGCAAAAGGTAAATTCACACAGAGCCCATTTGTCAATTTTATTCATTTGTTTTTTAAGCTTATTAAAAGAACAAATGCTTCATGTCAACAAGGTATGTGTAAGAGCTAATTCTCATCAGCTACAGACATCTTTTTGGACACAGTCAAGACTTGGTCCTTTTACAAAGTTCTTTTAGGAGAGGAAGTATGGAAGAATTCTAATTTGTTATCTCCTGAATTGTTCTCATTGGACGAAAAGAAAATATAGCCAATAGCTATGGTTAGGTTCCAGTTTTATGGCAGTATTAAACATAATTTATATTTCATCAGCAAGTAACAAAAAAAATCCAGACCTTTAATTTTGTTCTTGTTTTTTATTTGGCAAAGATATTTAATCTGAAAGCATGAAATAACTAAGGGAAATTTTTTCTCTCTGTGGTATCATTATATGATACACGTTGGACCCAGAGTTTAGATAATACGTAATTTTTGACAATGTTTTAAGGTGGTGTGAGTTGTATTGGTTCCCTCCACCAAAAAAAGAAAAAGGAAAAAGTATGATGGAGTCCTAACTGCTCAGAATGTCTTTTCTGAGATTGTGAAGGTGAGCCCTAACCCAATAGGGATGGTGTCCTTAGTAAAAGGAAATTTGGGCCCAGACACACACACGGAGAAGACTATGGGAAGATGAAGGCAGAGTTGGGGCAGTGCTTATACAAGCCAAGGAATGCCAGATGACCATCATACTACCAGAAGCAAGGAGAGAGGCATGGACAGATTTTTCCCTCAGTTCTCAAACCAACCCTGAGGACACCTTGATCTTGAACTTCCAACCTCTAACACTGTAACAAATTTCTCTTACTTAAACCACCCAGTTTGTAGTGTTTTGTTATGCCAGCCCTAGAAAACTAGTGCATAGAGAATTTACATCCCAGTGGCATTGTCAAAAAAGATGTGGCTTCCTCCCTGTGCACTAAGGTTTCAGTAGAAATGGTTTGTGTCCAGAAAGGATGAAGGTTCCTAACCTCTGGGAGTAAGAGAAATGCTGGGCTGTTTGTTTTCCATGGCTGAAATGCTTCCTCTGACACCTGTGCAACTGTAATTGCGCTCCTACCTGCACGTGGCCACTGGGGCTCACCAGCCCCTCAGAGCTGAACTGCCTCATTTCCGGCTGCCAGTTACTGCAGGGCTGCATCTTGCTCAACCCAAGGATGTTCCAGCAGTTGGCAGTGGCAGGAGAAGATTCATCACTGAGAGACCTTGCTGCAGTGGCCTTTGCTCCATCTAGGTTGTGATGAGATTTTGTCTTTGGTCAGGGGTATTTCACCCTCTAAACATTTGTGCTGGTTCCTTATGGTCCATGTGCCTCATGCACTAATTCAACTAGAACCAATTGTTTTTTGCTCCATCCTTAAGACTCCATTGTACTTAGAATAAAATCCAAATATCTTGCCATGATTTAAAAAGTTCTGCGTAGTCCATTTCTAACTTCTTCCCAAACCTCATCTCATCCCACTGCCGCACTTGGTCTACACCACACCAAATGCCCCTTGCTGGAAGGCTCACCCTCTGATTCTTCACTGGCTGGCTGCTGCCACTCAGAGGTAAGGTAGTCACCTCTGTTAAGCCTTCTGTCCACTCCATCTAAAGGAATGTTTCTCACCCTCTGTTCATGTGGTGGCACCTTGTTTATAGTATGTGCTTTATTGTGTCTTCCCCAATAAAGTTTTAAGTTCCATAGCACAAAGAAGGATCACAAATGTGTCATTTATATCTGTTCCCCCATGAACTTACATAGTGCCTAAAACCTCATGATTTGTTATACACTGTTGAATTGACTGGCTCCGTAATTCAATAGGTAGGTCGAGAACTTGCATTGGAACGATAAAAAAAAAAATTCATACCTAAGCCAGACACAGAATTCATCAGCTGATCTTGTTAAAACAAATGTCCAAGAAAGAACCAAGATGCTAAAGGGGTAATGCCTTTGCCAATCTTTCCTCACTCTGTTAAAATGATGAGTCCCATTTGTAGAGGACAACAATGAAGGTTAATTTTTTTTGGTCTATGTAAAAATAAGTAGCTGAAATTTGTATAGTAACTAATGTCTGATTTTTTAAAAATGATTTTCTTGAGTTAGACATTACAGTGACTAGAACTTCATGAGGAATTATGTGATGCTGATCAAGATCTCATTTTTAAAATATCCATTGTGTAAATTAGAAATAACAGCAATGACAATACAGTGGAAGGAACACTGAACTTAAGTTCTGCAACACATGATCCTTGAGTCCTAGTTGCCTGGACTGTATCGTTACTAGAGAAGTAAGTGACATCCAATCTTTTCAAAATTTTCTTTATTCATTAGAGTTCTCCCTTTAGCCAAAGCCTAATATGTGGTAACCAGAACTATTCTGGTTCAAGGAGACTGGGGGACCCTGAGCTGCTCCTTTGACACCCCTTCGCATGCCCCAGAGCCCAGAGGTTCCTCTGAGGACTCCTCTGTCCTAGATGACTTAAAAAGTCCATTTCTGTTCTTAAAGTTCAAAGATACAGAAATGCTCTTGGTTCAATGTGGATGATTTTTATCATGTGACAAACTATGCACAGAGAAGCATTTGCTGTATTACAAATAATAATAGCTGCCTTTCATTAAACATCTACTAGGCACTGAGTCTAATCCTTTAAAACTACCTGATGTCATAGGTATTATCCCATTTACACAGAATCAGAGAACAATTAGTTATTCCGGAATCATACTCTCTAATCAACACAGCCAAGTTTCAATCTGAAGTTTGCTGTCAAAGCCCTTTTCTCTCAATGCCACAGTGCACTTTTAACTACTTTTCTCATTTATTATATGGTTTAGGTTTCTTGGCTTTTTTGTTTGTTTTATTTTTTAAGCTAGAGCCCTGTGTTCACATATGAAAAAAAATAAATTTAACCAGTGTATTAGGTCAATATTCACTCAGGCATTTTCAAATTAGTATGTTCTCTCCAGTACATAGGAACCCCATTAAATTGCATTAGTACATTGAAAATACCACTTCCTACCTATTGGATTACTTTGTCTCACCAAATAAGTAATGGATTGCGGGCAATTTTAAATTCTAAGCTTTGAATGTTAGAAAATGGTAACATCGATTTAAGTGAATTATAGCCAAAACAAGAAAAAAACTTAAAAACTAACAAAATAGCATTTATGAACTGCTTCAGAATGGTAGAAGGAGTTAACTAAAGAAATGACAATGAGTAAGTTGGAAGAAGAAAGCTATCAGACGAAGTCCTGCTGATGAGTTCATATTCTGGCGGGAGAGCCAGAGGAACATGAAAACGACATACTTCTAGGTGGTGATGAGTGTTAGGTAGTCCAACAAGTTAAGAGGGCTAGAGAGCCATAGGAAAATAAAGCTCAGGAACATGAAGTCACTGTCAAAGTTCACATCCAGTGACCCCAGAGTCGCTTCTCCTGGGCTGTCTGGTGGGCCCAGGGACGCGGGCCTCCGCATCTGAGCAGCTAGCTTTGCGGTTTTCCTTGGACCCTCCACACAGCATCAGCTGCACTTTCCACAGTATTGGCAATGCTTACTAAATACTAGCACAATTTTTCAGCACTTATTTTGTGCTGATGACCCCTTTCTATCAGTTATCCTTATTGTATCCATTGCCCCCACCCCACTCCAGTGAGAAGAAAAAGCTCAGCATTTCACCATGACCCTGCAAGCCTGTCATTGTCCAGCTTCTGTCTCCCTCTCCAGCTCTCACTTATAACCTCTCCCTCTGTCTCTGCTCCTCAGGTGTGTCTAACACAACAGGCTTTACCCTAGCTGTTCCGTTTTGGGAGTCCACTCCTTCCCCAAGATGATATACTTTTGGAGGGCAGGCACGACCGTGTTTTGCTCACTGTCCTATAT